AAACCCTCAGGTTGGGCCTCAAAGTGCAAATTGGAGATGGGAAGACAACGAAGATTTGGGAGGATCCCGAGATACCTACAAATCATGATTTTAAAGCAAGGGGTGCAGAGTGTGAATGGTCTGGAGTGGGTTAGTCAGCTGATGTTGCATGAAAAGGGAGAGTGGAATAGATAGCTCACTACAATTATCTTCTCTCAGGAAGAAATTGAAGCTATTTTGAAGATTCCTCTTAAGGTTCATAATAAGTCAAAACTCCCTTATTTGGCATCTAAATACTAATGGAGTCTTCACAGTCAAGTCAACTTATAACATGATTTAAAAATGAGAGCATGAGAAGAGTTCAGCTTGAAAGCAGCATCTGGAATAAGTTGCATATGACTATGTGGAGAAGAACTTAGAGCCTTATGGTTAAAAATAAGCTAAAACATTTATTGTGAAAATGCTCACATAATATCTTGCCTACAATGGAAAATTTGGCTAGGAGGAGGATTAAAGATAATATTGGACGTGGGGTGTGTGGGGAAGAAGAAGAAATTGTTGGCCATCTGTTCTTTTTCTTGTGTTATGGCCAACAATGTGTGGAAGTTGACACCTTTATCTTGGGGGTGTGAGGAATATCAAGAGAAATTTGGCAAATGGTGGTGTAAATTATGTTCAGGACCAAAATCAAAATCTTTTGACGACAGGTTGCAAGTAACTGTTTATATTTTGTAGTGGCTCTGGAAAACAAGAAATTTGTGGGTTTTTTTTAAGGGAAATGGGTGAATGAATTCTTAGTGGTGACTGGGGCAGTTTTGGAGTGGCAGAACTTGATGTAGATTTAAGGATTTGAGTAGTGGCTGGTGTAGCTAGGGTGTTAGTTCTGGTTTGCTGGTGGCTTGAGGTTGGGAAGATTGTTCACTAAGGATGCCATTGGTTATTCAGTAGTAGAACTTTTTTCTCGTGCATAGCTTAGGGGTGCTTGTTCAGTTTTTTTGCTTTAGGGGCAGGGTTGGCTTCTTTTGTTTTTCAGGTCGAGTAGCAGATTTGTTAATGCTTGTGTTGTTGTTGTTGTTTTTTTTCCTTAA